CTAAGTGTTATCTCTAACCTCATAAGATACAAACCTGATGTCTTGTCCCTAAATTCAATCTGTGCACAAAATCCTACAGTGTGAACATTAAAATGCAGGCGCTATTTACAGTGATACTGTCTTGTTACTGCTTGTTGTACTGTTGTTTAGGGTACTGGCTGGAACTCTTAAGTCTGTGTTAATCTGGGATCAGGCCAAATTTTAGCAGCTTTCGTATATATAATGATTTATTCACTTATGTGGTTGCGTTAAGATTGGCCCTGACTGACTGTCTTCAAATCCCCCATAACGCACTTCATTTTCCTCAGTTATTGTTTTCAAATGTGCTTGGAAATATGCAGTACTCACGATTTGAACCCAACAGCTTATGCAAATTTGGGGACAAATACCCTGTGACCATGCTCCGTAGTTGGGGAAAAAGGCCAAAAAAAACACCTCGGCGAGTCAGACGAACTGAGCGGTAGTCTGACATTTTCTCCACAGCAGAGCATGGTGCCAGAGGGCATACAGACCCTTACAAGCCTATGATGCCGCGGCCAAAACACAAACTTTGAACGGATGAAACTTAACACAAACTTAAAAGGTCCCCTTTTTTTACCATTTTATACGGAAAAGGAACCCCTTTCATATACCTTCTATTGAAAAATGGCACTCCTTTGACATACCTAGTTGAGAACTTTGCATCCCTTTAACTTCTGTAAATGCACCGTCTTTAAGATATGAATTAATCAAAAAAACAGAGCGTTTCTTCAACTTTTTCACAGCCAGAAAGTGCATTATTAGCCCTCTTGTGCCTATTTACAGAATGAAGTGACAGAGTTCCGTTCCATTCCATTTGCTTCAAATTATAACATCCCTTCCCTTTCACATACCTGAAGCCTTAAAAAGACATCCCTTTTAGGTGGAGCCTCTCCGTATAGGCCATTAAAGGGAGTACCTCTCCCACCCCCCCACCCCCCATCACCTCCCGAGACTCAGATCTAAGTAAGTTACTAATGCCATGCAACCTCATTCCCAGGGTTCTTTCCAAATTGTTCCCTGGAGCTCACTTGTTTTTCTTGTGACAGTTCTGTTCAAATCTCTTTTTTTTTCATGGTTTTAGTTGTAGTGTATAATTCTGTTTATATTTTGTTGTAAAAATTTAACTGAGAGAGCCCAATTCCTTATAAGCCGGGTGGCTTCCCTTGGGCTTCCTTGCCGTTAGCTTTTTTTTTTTGTACATCATTATGGCAAACAATAAACTGAACTTAACTGAACTTGTTGTGGGGTTAGCAAATCTAGCTTGTCCTTGCGAGAACAATGGAAGCAGAAGCTTGGATCAATGGTCCTGATAAGTAAAAAAAAAAATTAAAAAAAGCAAAAAAAAAAAAGGGACTCCTCCATTTGGATTGATTTTGTTCTGGAGCCAATCAGACCCTAGCAGGGACTATCTTTCTCTCTCTAGCCCTTGGGGACGAGGAGGAGAGAACCCTGGGACCAAGGTTGGAGGCTATCTTCTGTCGGCATCAATGCCAGCACCACTTACTGCTCTGCAGTCTGGTGTCCAACTTAGGGGTTACTCCCAGACAATTTGGGTGGGCTTGTACATCACACTCCTTGAAACTCTTACTCTAGATCAAAATGTGTAATTTGTGATACCCTATTTCAGACCTGACCTACTATTTTACTTTGATGCAGTAAAAACCTTCATATAAGAACCTAGGTTTTTCCAACTTAGCCCAAATAGGTTCTTATCGAAATGGTATTTAGTGGGATTTTAGGCTACTTAGGTTCTTAATTTGATAGGGGCACTAGAACCAACACAGATAAGTACTACTGGGCACATGTAATATGGAATATGTTGCTGTATTAAATAATTACCTATAATACAGTTTAGGTGATAACCATACAGTAAGTCTATCTTTCCAAATTGCTAGCATGCATGTTTTTCATGCTACAGTGTCCATAAAATGCTGTGTTGGAGAAGACATGATATGGTTTTCATTTTGGTTCATGTATTTGAATCTTACTGACTGAAACCTAGACTAAAATGTTTTTTTCTGTATCCTTTGTCATCTGTGTCTTCATTTTTGTAAACTGAGAACCTATTGGAAACTTTAGGCAAAATAGGTTCTATGTAAAGGGGGCTTAAAATGAAAATTTTAGCCTAGCAGGTTCTTAAATTTTAGGTTCTTATACACGGGGTTTTACTGTACTCTGTTTCAGACCAGACTTTGGCAGGGTGCACAGCTCACTCTGAGAAATGTTCCCAGCAACCAAACAGCTGCTCGATTTGCATTATCATTTGAGGTTCAAATTACTCAAAGGGCATTTTTTAAGAGATGAATAAAAATAAAACAAAACCCCCACACAAATTCTAGACCCCAAACCATACCCCAGTTAACAGCATCAGGGTGGCTAGAATAATATTATGACTTGCCCAGCCCAGAAGTCCAAAAACCACACTTACCATCCTTCAGCAAAATTTTTAAACAAATGCCTTCAGTTTATAAACAACCTTTGTCAAAGCAAAAGAAATACTGTTCACTGTGGTAAAATATATCCAGGTTTAACTCCTTCAAATTCAGAAATTCTATCAGTAAAGATATAGAGGCACTTATTTGTTAACATCCTCCCATAGTCTACAGTTTAATAATTCCTCCTAACATTAGAACATAATCTTCCAAGAAATACTAAAGATAACCCCCAATCTTGTGGAAAACATTAATTTCCACAAAAAATCATATTTGCTCTCTAATAAGAAGCACTGATGTTAATCTTTATTTCCAAAAAATTTGACTGTGATTAGACCTGACCTAAAATTCATTACATAATTTCCAGACCAGATCACTGATTAACTTCACCATTCTAGAAGGGGTTCAGAATAATCAAGGTACACTTTTTAAGTAAAAATTTTATCTCTCTACTGCAGGTCATGTCAGCCTTTGGCTGCACCATTTCAACCTGCGATAACAAATAAAGTATATTATGCTATGCCATGTCACATAATGTTCTTGTAAATACTCACACACATGCAATTTTGCTGACAGTAACAAGGCCTTATATATCATCAACCCCACTTTACAAACACTGGTTACCTGCCTACTGTCTATTTTCATTGTCACTATCAAGCTAATTGTAGACATTGTACTATGTTAAAATTATGACAGATTTCTAAAAGAGTAGACATGTTTGCTATCATGTGTTTTGCATTAAAGCCAACAACAAGTTCTTCTCAAGTGTTGTTCCCTTGGCTTTATGCTGCAGTCTTTGGTACTAGCTTTCTTCCTCTTTGTCTGTTTTAGTATTAATATCAATAAATGATATGTCCGTGACATTTTTAGAGTCCACCAGGAGCATATATGCTTCTGAGTCAGGCAGGTACAAAAGTCAGACTCGATCAACTCGGGGCCGCCAGTCCGGATCAACTCGAATCGACTCGATCCAACTCGGATCGAAAAAAAATAAAAAATAAAAAAATAAAATTGGACTCGGATCAACTCGGATCATAAAAAGAAAAATAAAGTCAGCCGGCATCACTTACCTTTTACCCGCCATTTTGTTTTTTTCTCATGAACTCATGGTTGCGTAAATTAATTTTATTTTTATTCTTGTTAATTTTAATGATACACTAGTGAGCAGCACACATACACTTCCAGTGAACATTTTCAACTTGCAGGGGGGAGAAACCATGCGCGCCCGGAACAATGAAAATTTTCGTACCCAGGGCAAGATTCGAACTCACGACCCTCTGAATACTATATCGGACATTCCAACCACTGAACCAGAGGGGCGCGAGTTCAATTCTTGCCAGGCGAGCATGGTTTCTCCTCCTTCTAAGTTGAAAATGTTCAGTGGAGATGTATGTGTGCTGCTCACTAGTGTATTTGTCGGAAATTAAATTTCAGAAGTCCTGCAGAAAAAAACAAACAGGAATGAGAACCCTCTTCGGTAACTATCTAAATGCAATCAACAGAGCAGGCTTTTGATGCTTTTTTCATAAATAATTCAGTACACTAAAATATAAGCAAATATATACATTCTAGGCGAATGAAACTATCATTTTCTTTCGAGTGAAGCAAATGGTCGAGATTTTACCTTCCTCAAGGACATCTATATCTGTGTCCTTGAAACAGAACACGCTCATCATGTAACGCAACCACGAGTTCGTAACATGATCCAAGAGGAACTAGCACTAGTAAAACAAAATGGCGCCTGATAGCCACGGAGAAAAAGAAAGGATTATCTGGCCTTTTTTACCCTCCAAATTTTCAGTTTGCTAAATTAATTATTTTTTTGTTGTTGATCCGAGTTGATCCGAGTCCAATTTTATTTTATTTTTATTTTTTTATACAATCCGAGTTGGTCCGAGTCGATCCGAGTTGATCAACCCGGACTGGCGGTCCGAGTTAATCCGGTCCCACTTTACCCTCCTATGCAGGCGTTTTTAGGGGAGTACATTTTTCATCCCTCCCCACAAACGCCTGCTCAACCGAAAAAAACATTCCTTTCCCATTGTTTTATTTGCGTGGTAAGTGACCAAGAAACAGTTGTGCAATAAAGTGTTGACAGGCTAAACGCGACTAAAACGTGACCCTACAGTTACCGTTTTCCTTCTTTTCTTTCCTTTGTTAAGGTTATGAAGTGCATGGAGTATTCTAAAATTTGATTAAATCTTATTTTTGCTGCTCTGAATCTAACATTTATTGAAGGTTAGAAAGTTTTACCAGTGTTTCATGCAGATCGAGTAATTATCAGATTACCTTGTGGTCAAGGTCAACTTTCCAGAATTTGGAAAGTAGCATGTGATTGGCTAAGCATGGGAAAGGAATGTTGTCTTCGGTTGAGCAGGCGAGGAGGGAGGGATGCAAAACGAGCTCCCCTAAAAACGCCTGCGTGGGAGGCTAGTCTGACTTTTGTACCTGCCTCTTCTGAGTCTGCTTAAAAAGGACACCTGGTTCCAATGCAGAAATATATTTTTAGATGCTTGGAGCTTCTCTATGTCCAAAGTCAAACTTTCACTAGTTGTTCACTTCTAAGCACGATCTGTAATCGTTGGAATCCTTCTTCGTAACTATAAACCGTTCACTCTTTTCCTCCATCCAAGGTCTTGACCATATTGTGAAACAACCAAGCTTTACTTTGCCCCGCTCTAAAAATGGCAACTTCTTTAAAGTATCCTTTGTAATGCAGTCACTGGATGAAAGAGATTTGTCCACAGGTACCATCTCGAACGCAACACGATACATACTTCCCTGTACTACTTGGGAGGATGCACGCAAAGTTCCACAGATTTTCTTGTATATAAAGTCAGCGCCATCTTCAGTTTCGTTCTTCAAATAAATGTCTACTCCTTGGTCGATATCACACATAACTCCCTCTTCCGGCGACGGACCTACTTCTGATATTCCTCCAGTCATCGTTCCAGCTACTTCTCTCCAATGCGAGAAGTAAAATAATGCGAGCAAAAGGCCAACCAAACGTACCACAGCCATTTTGTCGGTGGTTTATTTTTGGGCCGTCTCAAGCTCAAGTGACGCTACGAATTGTAACCGCGTCTATTTCTTCGACCGCGTCTGTCTGGGACCCGAGGCTTACACATTTTTTGAAGCATTTTAGTGGCATTTTCGCCGGAATTTTTTCCCTCTGACAAACTTAAAATTGACATATTTTTACAAAGAAAAAGATAAGTTCAAAAAAGTCGTGTAGAGGATCATTTTTTTGGAGAAACTGTTATGAGTTTCTGCTTGTGTACAGTGTTAGACCACGAGCGGTCGTCCTTTGTTCCTCTGAACCACACGGGGCGCGCGAAATCATTCTTTCCTGGTGGGGATACAAAAGCATGAAAAGCATAATCAACAAAAGCCTAGGTGGGACCGCATCTGGGTTAATGAGCAACCAAGCATACGACTGCTGTCGAAAAAATGTCCTGAACCCAGACTGAAACATAAAGAAAAAACTCGGATATTTTTTATTCTAGGCGTACTCCTAGTAGCCCCCTTGCAACAAACACAAATGCCGAGGACCTCAATTGATGCTTGAGTGTGATTTCTTGATTTTATGAAAGCTGCAGAAATGGGTCTGCATAGGGTAATTAAAACAAAAAGAGAGATTAGAAGTGTATTTTCTTTTCGGAACACCAGAAAAATACCTCCTCCACACAAAATCCTGATTGGGTCAAATTTCGCGGGAAAATTTACTGTTCACGGGTTTTCATTGGTTTATTTGCGCTGAATGAATGAAACACGATTGACTGTTCGGACAGCGTTGTTTCGTCGAGCAGTTGATCGCAAAGGTGTGTAGGAAGTCTTCCCGTTAACTACCAAATAGAATAGAAAGCCACAACTCGAGTCCTTATCGACTGCGAAAGGGAAAAAATTCCAGGTAAGGTTTTATAGTGGGATGAGTATTTGTCAAGTTCTTATAACGTTCTTTTTTGAGTCACCGCATCCAACACGTCTCGCTCTAAGCGCAGAAGCTTTGAATTACCTACCGGAATTTGAAGCCAAAGTTAAGCTTAAGGATTTTTTATGACCGTTTTCTACGGATGCGATCTTCAACGAGCTTAAACGTAAAGGAAAAGTTTATTTATTTGATAGTACTATCATATCATTCCTGTAAGTAAGCTAATTAAAACAGTTGTTTGCGTGTACAAGTTTGACTTTCACTTTTAGCCTTGGCTCTAGCTTAGACTTTAATAGGTCATCCATCATACTTCCAACATACCGATACGATCGTCCCTCAATTGGCCGCAGTTTTGCATGCTGGGTCTAAATGATAATACTTAAGCTTACAGTTCTTTTCTTTTCTGTTTTGTCAGGGAAAATGTTTTACTCCGTTGATATTTTATCACGAAAAGGAAGGCTTGGTCTCATATGGTAAGCGTTATTTTGTTAATAAAGTTTGCTAATCATATATTTAAACTAGTACTACCAGCATCTTTCGTTTGCGTCGTAAGGCATTTGTTAATTTATTTAACCGTATGAGCTTAAAATGGAAGGCAAGGCTGATCGTACTTCGGATTGGTGATTTGTTTGCCCAGTATTTCGCTTAGACAAATAAATCACCCATCCATATCAACCCGATCAGCCTTGCCTTCAATATTTCAAGGGTTATTCTACATTGCTGATCCTGATCTGCAGCAAGATACGGCATTCACGGGAAGAGGGGGGCGGGGGTGAGGGGAGCTGGGGTATCATAGTATGGGGGATAATTTGCCACAAACAAAATTTCAACAGTGTTTTCTGAATCGAAGATTGGACCCCTCACTAAAAAAATCCTGGATCCGCCCTTGCTATAAACCACTGTACCTGATACAGTATTCCAAGTCTTGTTCTTTTAAGAGTGTTGTCGGTTTTTGATTTGTTTTGTTTGTTTGTTTAGTGAACCGGCAACATTGTTAGTACCATTGTGTATAACTCTTTTACCGTGTTTATTGATGGACTTACCAGAGTTGCAAGCAATATGAGCCTGTGAGACCATACATGAACCTCAAACAGTGAAATTTGAGGTAAAACATGTGAAAACTATGGCACCATGTACTATCGGCACACCACACTAAGTCCTAGATGGAAAAGGACTCTGGCTAAATATAGCATGGCAGACATAATTTATATCCTTGTTCATGGCCCCCGAAAGGCTCAATAAATTATGGGAAGTGGGTTTCCAATATTATTTCCTTTCATCTTGATTGGCAAATCAACAATGGCTTTTTCAACAAGCCAATCCTGGTGCATATCCAAATCCTGGTATACAGGTGGGGCCCAGAACAAGGATTTCAGAGCTGTTACACAGACAGACTTAGCAGAGTTTAGCTTGTCTTTGATGCAGGCCAGCTAGGCTTAAATAACAGCACACAAGATTCAGTCCGGCATGTTCACACTTGTACTTTATTCTGTATTCCCAGTGCAACTGTACCCAGTTCCACAGACTACCCACTGTTTACATTAATTTACTAAACAACATGATTTATTTCTTGCCTAAATGTTTTTTTCATCTAAAGGCTTGCTGCTATTTATGGGGAAACAAAAAGAGGGATGACACATCGTGAATACAGAAAAGTCAACATTTGCAGAGCATGGTATGTATTATACATTTTTGTTCTAAAAAAATATTTGCAGCATTCAGATATCCCTGCCAACCCTCTGGTACAGCCTAATTGCACATGTAGGAGGGGGAAGAGCAGTTAAATCAAGGGTGAACATACACACTGTTGGAGACAAAAATAAGCGGCCGTCATGAAAAGGTGACCCCCGCAGAGAGTTGGCCACCAGCAAAAATAAACTACATGGATCGTCTAGATCATGACCACTCAAAATAAAGTATAGCTGCAGATTAAAGTAGTTTCTATCTATGTACAAATGTCATCAGATTGGCAAGTCTCAAGTGAATGACTATGTACATGTATTCTTCTCACTTTCACCCCACAATACTGAATATACTGCTCCAAAAGAATCTGTCATCTTTATAGATGAAAAAATAAGAAGAGGACTTTGTTCTACATATATGGCCACCTTCATGTACGCTTTAAAAATACTCTTAAATATCCGTAAAGCAGTCAACACCACTTTCCAAGAAAGCTGGATCTAACCCTTTAATTGAGCAAGCATAAAGGAAATGCAAATCATTGTAAAGAACTTTTATGGTTTTATTTGGGTACTGTACATTGATAAATACTTTCAGCACTTACAAAGAAACAGTGGATTGATCCTATGACAGTGACCTTTAATTATATTAAATGTCTCCAAAGAACTGAACATACAGTAGATTAAACAAATCCTGGCCATTTGACAGTAAATCAAAGTGAACTAAGCTATTCTGCCACCAAGATGCACCTCTTTGTACTGCTAGCGCTAGAAACAAAAGTACCTTTCTTGGCAGTTTTAATTCTGCCCTTTATAAGTTGAAGCTGGTGGAGCAGATTAAAGGTTATTTGGGTTGCTTGCCAGATGCTCTGAAGTTCTCTCATGGTGATTCCAGTTGTGATGCGTCTTGATAAAGGGGAGTCCCTCCAGCCAACAAAGAAGTCAGCAGAGGTATTATGACTCTATACATCATATCAAGGGTTTTTTCTTTGGACCAAAGATCACCTGCTGTGAAGTCTCCTGTTGATTCAGAAACAGGACAATCACCACAGTAGTGTACATGTAGGCCACAATAGAAGCCTCATTAGGGTAAAATTCCAACAAGCAACATGGCCTTGAAATAGTGACATAAGACTCAATGAAATGGCAACAAACGAAATAAAGGTGGGCTTAATACCAACAGGGACATGGCCAACTCCTCCAAATGTGAAACGACCGTATTTAAATTTCTGACTAGGTACATATGTATCCCCCTAATAGCTAAAAATTAAACCCTAAGAAAATGAAATGAATTCTATTTATTGTGATGTGTTGAAGCTTAATTAAAAACCAGTAAATGCAAAACATATTTTGATCAGCACTGCTATAGCCTGCTTCAAAGCACTTTTTTTGTTCTGATAATGAGCCCCCTCCGATACGAGCCCCTCTGTTTGAAACCTCTCCTAAAACCCCTTACAAAGATGTCCAAGTAGCAGTTTACGGTAGAGTCACTTTTGTGATTTAGAAAATTGGCAACAAAATTGTTGAGAGACAGTCCTCAAATGGGTAAATAAAACAATCCTCAGCCATCTCCGGTTTCCTCCATTCAAAGTTGGAGTGCTTGTTGCTTCCAACAGGTCACTAGCTCGAATTGCAGCACTCATTGTTATGAGGTGGTGGGGAGAGAAAGCTTCATTTTTGCTTTTTGAAGTTGGTAANGCAACAAAATTGTTGAGAGACAGTCCTCAAATGGGTAAATAAAACAATCCTCAGCCATCTCCGGTTTCCTCCATTCAAAGTTGGAGTGCTTGTTGCTTCCAACAGGTCACTAGCTCGAATTGCAGCACTCATTGTTATGAGGTGGTGGGGAGAGAAAGCTTCATTTTTGCTTTTTGAAGTTGGTAAAACATCAGAAAGGCCCTTTAAGGCTTTAAGGCTGTCTGTCCCCAATTGTAGCACATTTTCATTTTCATTCAGATGGCTCCTATGAAAATTGTGACCATAAATGACAAAACCTTATATCTTACTTTTCACGAGTTAAGTGAACAAAAACAAACCAGTCTGTTAACTCAACTGACTCTACTCATGCAAAGCAACAAGACTTGGAAAATTGGAAGTTTTGGAAACTTCCTTGCATCTGATTGGTCAACATTCAGATGAGCACAGTGCTCATTGATTAACTTATATTTTTGGAAATGCCTGACAAGCAAATTCGTGAAGTGTCACAAATTTTATTATTTTGGATGATCAAAATCTTACGTGTATCTCATTTTACCTCTAACTACCGATAAATGAATGTAGATTAAGCTTTCAAACTATAAAATAAAAGTGCTTCTTCAAGGCGTGGTCAAATATAATGTTGGAGTGTTGGTTTTGACCCTTTACGTGATTATTTTTTAATCTACTTTCCGATACCGTTTCTTTTCTTTTCT